TCTCTAATCAAGGGGAGATTTTGGGGGTCTCAAATCAAGGGGAGGTTTTTGGGGTGTCTCTGATCCAACGCTCACCCCCATTTTGGTGGGTTTTCCCCCCCATTTCCCCCAGCTCAGCTCTGTCCCCTCATTTATAGCTCCCAGGAGGGAGATTTTTCCTCCTCAAATTCCCTTTTCTGGTCATTTTTCCCCCCGTGACTCATCCAGAATAAACAGATTCCTTCCTGAAAGGCTCAGGGACGTGGATTCAAGGCTTTTTGGTGATTAAATCAGTGAGATTCACCCCCAAATCTCCCTCCTTTTGGGGGTTCACATCAGCTCCAAGACACCACGGTGGAGAGCTGGGCAGGTTTAATCCCTGCCACGAGGGAGAAGTGAGAGCTGGAGGGGAGCAGCGCAGAGTCCCGTGTCCCTCCATCTATGTCCTCACTGTCCTCTTGTCCTCAAAGAGGCTCTTGAGCATGTAGACCTGGAGAAAAGCCACCACCACCAGCACGGCCAAGTTCACAGCTGACCAGAAGTTCACTCGACCCAAATTATTCTCTTGGAGGTTCCGGTCTCGAGCTTCGAAGGCTCGAAGGAGCGTTTGCATCTGGATGCTCCGTTCCAAGCGGTTCCTCATGGTCTCGATGGATTCCTGGGGGATGGGAAGGGATGTGCTGACTCCCACCCGCCTCCACGTGCAATTCCAAGGTGGTTTGAGGTAGGAAAAGACCTTTAAATTCAGCTGGTCCAACCCCCCCCCAGCAATAGCAGGGACATTTAGAGCCATTTGGGTTGGAAAAGATCTTGAACTTCATCGTTAAGTCCCATCGTTCACCTAAAACTACCAATTCCACCCCTAAATTAACCCAAAACTATGGAATTCACCCCAAAACCAACGTTACCCTTGACCTTGGTGAACCCACCTTGATGTCCTCGATCTTGACGTCCAGCGCATCCTCAGGCTGCGCCGCCTCCACCCACCCGTCTCCTTCCTCCTCCTCCTCCTCCTCGTCCTCGTCCCCCGGGGCGCTGTCGAAGAGCAGCTCGAAGAACACCAGCTTCTCCGAGATGGTGCTGAAGGAATTGTCGAAACCAACGTTACCCTTGACCTTGGTGAACCCACCTTGATGTCCTCGATCTTGACGTCCAGCGCATCCTCAGGCTGCGCCGCCTCCACCCACCCGTCTCCTTCCTCCTCCTCCTCCTCCTCGTCCTCGTCCCCCGGGGCGCTGTCGAAGAGCAGCTCGAAGAACACCAGCTTCTCCGAGATGGTGCTGAAGGAATTGTCGAAGCAAAGCTTGTAGTCGCCGGGCTCGGTGGGCTCCACGCTGCGGGGGGAGAGAGAGGGGGGTCAGGG